ACCCAGAGCCCTAGGACCCCGGGGAGGCTGAGCCGCGGCTACCCATCTCTTCCTGTCATGAGCAAAGGAACCCTCCTTCAATTAGCTAAAAAGTAGGTGGAATCAATTTCGTTAAAAAAAATGCTTTTGTAACAAATACCCTCCCACTAATGAGATACTCTCGGTGCTCTTTGTCATAAATATGTGTCTGTTCGTTTGTTTAGTACCATCATTATCGCAAGTATGTTTTTATGAATTTTAATTTCTGAATCTATTTAAGATTTTTAATTTTCTAAGTCATTAGCGTTTACATGTAGACTCCCACTGCATTCCTAGGTTAAAATATTTCCCAGAAAACAATACTCAGGAAAAATGCCCAGCTGCTGTAAGAACACATCTGTCACCCGTGGGCAGGGCAGGGCAGAGCAGGGAACCAGCTCCACCCTGGTTCCATGTGGAGATACCAGAGCGTCCTCTCCTGTCCAAAGCTGGGACTCAGCTGGGACTCAGGAAAAGGTTCAGGCAGGGCGTGTACGGAGGACTGGAGCCCCACCGGAGCACTCCGAGGCAGTGATGTTTCCGCAAGCACAGGACTGCTCATCGCCTCCAGAATCCCAGAGGTCCAGCATGCTGGCGGGGTGTCTTACCCCTACCGAGCAAATGGCATCTCTCCGGTTGCAAAAACCCAGTTCCCGAAACAGTAAGACTCATTTTCTAATCTCACGCTGTTTCTCGGCAGTCGGGCCTGCGGTGGGATTGAACCTGACTGAACTGGCCTCAGGAGCGCTTCTCATGGAGTTTGGCGGTCTCAGGTCCTTTCAGGAAAATGCCAGAGCTTCACATCCCACTCGGGCTGGGCATGGCCACGTGGTGAGTGGGTCCCCCCGCCCCGGGGAACATTCAGGCCGCAAGCAGGGTTACCCTGTGTGGCTCCTGAGGCTCAGTTTTGGAAGCTGGCTCTGTAGCGCCGGTTTGATGAGCGCCGTTTTTCAGGGCGCCGCCTCAGTGTTTGATTCTGCACACCCCAGGTCCGCAGCCTGGCCCTGGGACTCAGCGGCCCGCTACTGCCAGCCACAGAAACACAGCGGAATACTACTCAGGCTTTAAAAAGGGGCCCTGGCGTTCATGACAACCAGGACAAACCCAGAGGACACTGTGGGGAGTGCAATGAGCCCCGCACAGAGAGACAAGGGCGCAGGGCCCTGCGGTGTGGACGCCATGCCGGGGAAAGCAGAGCACAACTCACAAGGGCAGGGGGCAGGTGGCGGCGGCCTGGACGCTGGCACTCTAGCAGGCGGCTGGGGGACACGCAGAGACCCTCACCACCACATTTCACAAGCACGTGGCCAGACGGGCCCTGGGTACAGCATGTGCCCTCCCGGCATGACACTGGGCACAGGCAGCCCGCAGAGCAGCCCTCGCCCCCGCCTGTGCTGCCATGGGCGGGGAGGAACAGCAGGTGTCGGCAGGGAGCGTGCGGCGTGTGCATACCCCAGCGGGGGGCAGTGTCCCATCACCCCACAGTGAGGAGCATGGGACGCACAGCTCAAGGGGTCGGGGGAGGAAGCAGCTGCAGAGCCAAAGCGAGGAACAGGCCGCCTGACAAGCAGCCTCTGTGCCTCAATGCCATCAGTGAAGGGAAGCAGGCAGACCTCTCAGGGGAGCAACGAGCTGATTGCTGGACACAGCCTTGGCCGCAGCCGGGATCTGGAGTCCCAGAGCACCCTCTGAAGGGTGTGAGGAGACAACCGGCCAGGTGAGGACGGGTAGGAAGCACCAGAGTGAGCCCTCGAGGGCACAGGAGGGCCACCTTGTTCCTGTGCTCAGGACGTGGCTCAGGCCCCGGGGGAGAAGCACCGGGCATGCCACGGAGACAGTGGGTTCCACAGGATCCTGGAATACGCTGACTCTGCTCTCTTACGGACTCAGAGTCTCAGTGAAGTCTGACTTCCCTCCTCTCCCATCGCCCCCATGGTGTGGGCCAGGAGTGCCCTGCGGAGGGAGGGAGACCCCACCCCCAGGGTCAGGCCAGTCCCCAGCCAGGGCTCCAGCATCCCTGCCTCCTGCCCTGGCCTCACTCTCTGCTGCAGTACAGGTTCCAAAAAGCAGTGTAAGGGCAGACAACGCCTCTCCTGAGGGGGCAAACCCAGGACTCCCCAGAGCCCACTGCCACCGACCTTGGCCTGCTCCCCGGCCCCGAGCTCTCCAGCTCTCCCCCAGCAATGGGTGCTCCGAGTGGTCACCCTGGCCCAGGAGATGCCATGTGCACAAGCTCAGCAGGGCAAGGACACCACTGCCCAAGCTCCGCTCTCCGGCGCAGGAAGCAGGGAGCTTCGGAGAAGTGGCTGGCTCTGAGGCAGGAGGGAAAGCTCACGGTGACTGTAAGCAGAGCGCAGCAGGCATCGAAGGTGCGAGTGCTGGTCACAGCCCAGGCGGGAACCAGAACACGCGTACCATGCAGCTGAACAAGCAAGGAAGCGGAGGAGGAGGGAGGTGCGAGAGTTTCCATCGCATACGTAGCCGTCCCCTCCTCCAGGAGGAGGAGGACCCACACCTCCCTCCTGTGCGGGGTGCAGGCTGAGACTCCACCCCACCGGACAGATTAGGACGAGGGAACACAGCGGCCTCCCAGGGCAGATACTGGCCGACCCCGCCTCCTCAAGTGGCTACCAGGCTGCCCTGATGGACGCAGCACTTCCCTCCTCAGCCTCCTTGTCGGCAAGCGTGTCCACACCGGGCTGGGGCACATCCCACAGCTCACCCGGCCACGTCACAGGGACAAGGAAGCCAGGACACGTCGCAGACCAGAGAGGGGACGGGGACAACTGAACACAGCTGGTGTCGCGCTGGGGTTCTGGGACAGGAAGTGGCGCTCAGGGGACCCCAGTGACTCAGTCCATCTGGAGCTGAGGTGATCGCTGGGCACCGGCTTCAGCCCTCACTGGTGACACATGTGCCCAGAAGGGAGGTGTCCACAGGAAAGCAGCCCTGAGCTGGCCTGCCCTGCTATTGCTTTTCCCACAGGGAAGTGCTGGAGGGCCCTCCACAGTCTTCACAGCTTTCTCTGTAGCTAAGGTTACCAAGAAATAAAAAGCTTAATTGTTTAAATGTTGTAAGGAAAAATAATGGAACCCTGGAAAGATCAGTAGTTGCTAAGGGTAGAGGAAAGGACTTTTACACCAGTGAAATAACTCTGCAGGGAATGGCCATACAGTGGGGACACCTGTCATTATGCACCTGTCCTAACCAGTGCTAGCTGCGGGGCAGGGTTTGAGCTGTTCCCTGGGTTCACCTGTTGGAAGCTAGGTTCTCAGCATGGCAGAATCAGGAAGTGGTGAGATAGTTAAGAGGCATAGCCATGTGGGAGGGCTTTAGGTCCCTGAGGGCATGGCCTTGTGAGAGGGTTTATGCTGCTGGGGGCAGACCTCATAGGAGGGGTTTAGGTCACTGGGTGTTGCCTCATGGGAGGGGTTTAGGCAGTTGTGGGCATGGCCTCATGGGAGGGTTTGGGTCACTGGGGGTGTGGCCTCATGGGAGGGGCTTAGGTCACTGGAGGCATTGCTTCCGTGGGAAGGGATTAGGTTGCTGAGGTGTGGCCTCAAAGGGAATTAGGGCAGTTTCTCATGGGTCCCTGGTCAGTACTCTGCAGGGCTCCTGAGGGCTACTGCGACCTCTTCCTCATCACACATCCACTATGGTGAAATCCTCCTCCACCAGGAGATCCTCACCAGAGCTGACACCAGGACCCTGCCCCTGAGCCTCCAGAACTGGGAAAAACAAACCTCTTTTCTTCCTAAGTCCCCTATAGTAACAGGAAGCAGACTGCACCCCACAGGATGGGCAGTACCAAGCGTGAGTCTTGGTGTACCCTGAGGACCATGATGGTGCCCCTGACGTATCCATGTGGAGCCATCAACTGTGACAGATCCGTGCTCTGTGGGGATTTTAATTTGGGAAGAACTGCATGAGCCCGGGCAGGGTGTATGGAGGGTTTCTGTACTTTCTGCTTACTTTGCTGTGAGCCTGAAACTGCTCCCCAGAAAGTCTATTTTTAAAATATGTGATTTAATAAATTCACAGCCATTTTAATTCTTTCCTGCAAACCACAATTGCTAGACCAAAATGACCATGTAAACTGGCAAATAAGTGTACTCTGTTGAACACAATAAAGGTCAAGCACAGAAACGTCTGTCTGCACCCACCCTGGCCAAGGGTGTTGTTGGGATTGTTGTCGCCCCACGCAGAAAAGCATGCAGTTGAGCCCACCTGCAGGACAGGACGAGGGAAGGACATGAGGGAGGTGCTTGCTGCCCCCGCTGTGCCCGAGGGAGCCTGCTCAGCTGGCCTTCCCGTCAGGGACATGCTGCAGCTTAAATATCATCGCCTTAGCAAAATGGAGCAAAATATGACATGCGGATCAGTCTTCATGACACAGAGGTGAAGTGTTCAGCACCATGGAAGCTTTGTCTCCTGTAAAGGAACTATTAAACTAAAACATGAGATTGGCTTTCTATGCCAGAAGAATTTCTAAAAGAGAAAGAAAAAGTTCAAAGAGCGGCCAAGCTCATCCTGTGCGCTTTCACTCCGCCAGGAGGCCGGATGCAGGCAGCCAAGACTTTATTTTCCCTCCATTTCTGCTGCAGGGATCTTTCCACACAAGCGTCTCCTTTACATAGAAACCCTGTCCTGGTTGATTTGCACACTAACACAGAACAGAGCTTCATGCACTGATTTTCCTGTCCCAAGGTCCCTTTCCTGGGGGCCTGAGGACCAAGAGACATTCCTCAGCCTCACATAGATGTGCACTCCTCAGGATCTGTGTGTCCTGGGCACCTCTCCAGCCCCGTGTCAGCAGCCTGTCACCCAGCCCACAGGCAGGCACTCTCCAAGGCCTGTGGCACCTCCTGCTGGCTCTGGGGCTGTGGGCGCTTCCCCTTCCCCCAGCTGTGAAGGTGCTTAACGGAAGGAGCCAGGAGAGGAGGGTGGCCTACACAGCACTTGTACAGGAAAACCACAGCAAGGAGTCTTTTAAAGCTTTATTTGTCTAAGCAAGAGAAAACAGAATGTAACCAGGTAATGCCGGCCTCCGCAGGCCTCTTGGACTTCGGAGCCGCTAGGTCCCAAGGACCAAAGCCACCACAGGACAGCTGGACACGGCCGGCATCACTTCCTGTCAGAAAGTCTCCCCCAGCCACCTCCCCTGCACCCGCATCCACACAAGCTGCTTTGCCCCGTGAGGCTCAGCCATTCCTCTAGGCAGACGTAAACTAACAATTGCCAAGTGCAAAGTCAGACACCTAACGCGGCCATTCTCTGCCCACACAAGGCGTGCCTCGAGTCCTGGCGCCCACACACAGCACGCAGCGCTCCCAGGACCCCAGGCCACTCTGTCCCCTCTCCAGGCCGGCCGCCTTCCCCTACTCAGCCTTGGCTGAGGTGGAGGCCGGGATGAGCTTGGGCTTGGCCTGCTGGGATGGTACGATGTCGGGGATCTTCTCCCCATGCTTGTACACGCTGAGGGTGACGTCGATCTTCTCGCCACCATACTTGTTCCGGACGTGGATGCTGTACTTGCCGGAGTCCTCCGAGGTCACCCCCTTGATGGTCAGGCTGACGTACTTGGCCTGCTCCACCTTCACGGAGAAGTGATCGCTGAGCTCGATGTCCTTGTCGTTCTTGAACCACACCACCTCGGGGTCCGGGTTCCCGAACACCGTGCAGGTCAGGTTCAAGGTCTTCAGACGGGACGGGCAAGGAAGGGAGAGAGAAAAGGAAAGTTCACGACACTGAGGGACGCCACGCCATCACTGGGTCACTCAGCAAATCCTTCTAGCTGCAGGTACCAAAGGGAGATGAGCAGAGTCCCAGGGAAAGATCAGCGAAGATCAGGTCTGCTCGTGCCGGTTTCCACCCAGGCCTGGCTGGTTGAGGGTGCGAGGTGGGCATGTGCAGCCTGTGTCTGCGTCTCCCTTATGCTCTGATTTCCCAGCCCAGGGAACCCAGAGAACACTTTGTAGAACCCTGGTCCACTGGACACAGCAGTGTACACTCAGCACGTGGCTAAGACCCCTGGGGGCCTCACTAAGTAAGACAGCTGCAAGCGTCTCAGTTACGTCCTTTGTGAGATCCAGCGCAGCTCCATCGCGGCTCTGCTAAGGGAGGGCTACACACCTGACAGGTCCTAGCAGGTCTGTGTCCCTGCGACACCAAGTTAGCACTGGAGCGGCCAGACCCGCCGTTGGCTATCAGTGGACCACACCCAAGAGCAAAGTGAGACTCCACTCCGTGTTCCCACCGTGTCTTCCAAATGACCTTGAGAATGGCGCTGCGGTTCTCCCTTTCATTTTTTAAAGGCTGCGACTGTGCACGCTCAAAGCCACTGGCCGATGCCCCACACGGGTGGGAAGTCACCTCCGCCTCACTCCTTTGAGACACCCCAGAGCCAGGTGGCCCCTGAGGGGCTGAGACACGAGGTGTCTGAGTCGCACATTTCTCCCCCGATCCCCGAAGGATCCTGGACACCCAGGCCTCTAACAGGCGAGGCAGCACTGGACGCTGCCCCCTAGGTACTCGGCAACTCCATCCCGTGGTCCTACAGGACCATCAAAGGCAGCCCAGGGCACGCAGGCCACAGGTGGAGCCCCTGAGTGCCCCCTGGCTAAGTGACACAGAACCAGGGTTCAGCCCATGCCCAGGCCCAGCGAGGCTGCACCGCACCCCCGCTCCACATGCACGGTCTGCATGGCTCACCTTGCCCTCCATGATGGTCACCACGTCGGGTAAGCCACCGATCACCTTGCCGCGATCTGGAAGGGAAAATAGGGTGAGGAGCAGGAGTGCCATGCCCATGGGGGGGCTACACCTGGGGCCATATGGGCCTGGCGGAGATGGGGAGGGGAGCCTGAGAGAAGAGCGTCCGCAGAAGAGGGAGAAACCGGGAGCGGTGCTGCCCCAAAGGGCAGGGCAGAGCAGGGCAGGGCAGGACAGGGCGTCCAGGGAAGTGGGGGCAGAGTGGGGGAGGAGAGGGACTGCGCTGTGGGCTGGTGGCTGGGAGGTCAGGAGCAGGAGGGAGGCTCTGGGCAGGGGAGGGTGGGCAGGCGTGGCCCCGAGGGCGAGAAAGGCTGGGCACAGGACGCAGGTCTGAAGGTCGGGGTCTGACACTCGAATCAACCCCCCGTATCATGAGGACCCTTCCCCCGCCAGGACAGCACCCCGCAGTTACCCCAGTGCACACTTACTCTTCTCTGCGAATGCCGCAGCCCTGGAAGGCACGGGGAGGAGAGAGGGGAAGGAAGGTCTGAGAGACGCTGCCCCGGGCCACATGCTCGCCTCGGCAGGGGCTGCCTATGCTGGGGGGGGGGGCGGCCCCATCCCAGGGCCCCCAAGGGAGCCTGAGGGGGCGGCTCCAGGAACACCCAGGACACCCACACCCAAGGACACACAGGCACTTGTGTGAAATGGCTTGGTGTTCACAAACACCCCATGCACCTCCACCTAGGCCTAGATTTCTTAGGACAGCCAGTGCAATGCCAGTGCAATGAAGGGCTGTTAAACTGCACTACCTGGGGAGCAATGGCAAAAAAAGTCTGTTCGTGCCTGGGACCCCTGCAACTGCTTTCAAGTTTGTTGTCACAGTGGAGTCTGGGGAGAGGGACCCTGCATGGAGCGCCAGCTGGGTATCTTCCCGATATATTGCCCACCGCCCATGGGGACCTGGTGACCCAAAGAGGCCAACAGCAGATACGGAGAGGGAGAGATTTCATTATTTTCACCAAATTCGCCAGATAGCACTGGAGACCTTTGGGGTTGTTTTGTTTTGTTTTGCATTGCCGGTTTGATTTATCTCACCATCCACCTACTCCTCAGAGATGGGCCAAATAACCAGCAGCCCCACGGCCTGAACTCAGCTGTGGAAACTCCAAGGCTCAGACACACAGTGAGAAGTCTTGAACCATTCTTTTAAAAATTGCCATGTGATTATGATGATTCCAGAAATGTATCACTCAACTCTCTTGTACCCAAGGCTCACAGCCCCTCCGGAGAGCTGCTTTGTGAGCATCTTGCTAGTTGAGGAGAAAGCCCGCCTCCTGCGTACGGAATCGCTGCAATCACTACTGCATCCCAGTAGGTGTGTGGGGTGGCCTGGCATTTACAGATGTTGCCCCACATCACCAAGATGACCGCAGGCCACACAGCCCCCGCCCATACAGCCACAGCTGGATACACAGCACTTACTTGAGTTTCTGGAATTCTGTGAATGCCTCATCAAAAGCTGTAAGGAAATATTTCTTGTATTAGTAACGGTTTTGATGTGCTGAGCACTACCCATTCACTCAGATGTGAAACAGCTTCCTCTGAACGAACATCATAAAACCAGATGGGGTGTTTGACGCTTCTCTTCCCAGTGGGATCTAAACAGATCAGGAAGCACCAGAACAGAACGCTTCATGCAAACGCACACTTCCCTTACCTTGTCCAGACAGGTCCAGGGAGCGGTGATGGTTGTCTTTGCCATCAAAAATCTCGAAGGTGTACTTCCCTTTGTCCTTCTCCGTGGGCTCACAGATCTGCAGCCAGGCCATCTCCTCGCTGCCTCCGACCCGCATGTGCTCGCTGGAGGAGATCTTCGCTTCTCTTTTAAAAGAAACAGGGACGCGTTCAGTTCGCAGGCTCTCTATGCACAGATTCCCATAGGGTGCTGCACATTGGTGCGAACCCTCGTGCTTGCTGAGGCCCTGCCAGTGCGTGAGTCACACAAGCCAGGTGCGCAGCCAGAAGCCCATGGACAGGTGCACGAGGAGGGGCCGGCTTGAGCAGGGGTAGGAGCGCATCCTCGGCCCCAGCTCCACCCACAGCCGCCCCCTCTGGAAGGGATTCTGGCCCTGGCCTCCCCTACGTAAAGTCAGATAATGTCCAAGAGTCCACTCTGAGTAACGATGCAGTGGAGGAACTGACACTCAGCAAAGAGAGGGCCCCTTCCTCAGCAGGGCACCCCTGCTGGATATAAGTGGAAAGTCGCCCTCATGCCAGAGACTGCAGTCTCTGGTGAGACTCCCAGTTGGGCCTGGGATCTGAGGGCAGAATCTGAGGCCACCACGAGGCTTGGGGTCCTCAGGCAGGTCCTTGGACATTTGTTAACTAAGACAGAGAAAGTAGTGAGCCTGCAGGGAGGAACCTGACAGACGCCACCTTCATCCAGACACACGGACATTTAGCAACTTCCTAAAGTGACTTCAGTCCAAGGAACGGCAGTGGGGTCCAGTGCCAGGCAGACAGCAGCCCCGCTCCCCTGGCAGTTAGGAGCCTGCTGAGATTTTGGGGTCGGAGAGCCCAGGCAGATCTGTGCTGAAGCACCACCCATGTCCTGAGATGTTTATATTTCCCTCCTGTAAAGACACCGAGAACTCGCTGCCCCAGCCAGGTTCTTTGGAACCCTGGGTGATCGATACTTAGCAGTGGAGGTCCAGTACCCCTGCATGCTGGATTAACTCCACCTTCGAGCAAGAAAGCAGAACCCTTTTTCTGAAGGACATTTCTGCTGAGCTCCTCTTGGCCTGCTCCTAACTCATGGGGAACGGATTTTCAGCCTGTCTGGAAAGGGGCATTTCCCACGTCCCTTGATCTATGTCACCCAGCAGTTTAACAAAGAACAGCGCTCCCCGCTTACGCCTGCATTTTGCAGGGTTGTATTTGCACTCTGTGGACCCCAGGTCACTGGACGTGGAGCACTCCGGTGTCCACAGCTCAGAGCCCAGCCACCACCTCCCGCCTCCCGAGCCCACAGCAAACCCACGCGGAAGGGCCACACGCAGGCCAGGCTCCAACAGTCTCGCCACCTGAAACCGCTCACAGTCAAACGCGAGAAGGTGGCCAGGCGCCGCTCGCAGTGACAAACGTGAGCACCGAGCTGGTTAATGTGCAGCTGGTGCTGTTTGACAGTCACAAGCAACCAAGAGCGAACAGCACAGTCTGAGGTCCAAGGTTACGCTTCGGTCATGGAAGTGCTAAGGAAATGCTCATTTTGGGAAGAGACAACATAGAAATACCACTTTTGTGACTCTGCTTATCTGCAGTGGCAGCTTTCCCTCTCTGTATCCAGTGTCCTTTCACCCGACCCAGCCCCAGGCCCGGCCAGGCCCATGGCCTGTGCCTCTGTCTGTCTGTCTGTCAGCTCCCCAGGAAGTCCACTGCTTCCCAGGAGAGCCAGGGTTGAGTCGGATGCACTGGCGTCCAGCTCCTGCTCCTCTGTGTGACTTGGAGCACAGTGATTTGTGCACTTGTTCCAAACAAGTGTCTTGTTCCAAATCTCAGTTTCCACAGCTCCAGAGTGCAGCATACACACTGAGTCTCAGGGCATTTTCAGAGGTTGCTCAAAAAGACCTGAGATAGGGTCTAACACACAGGGCCTGTGGGCTAGTGCAGACACGGCACACATCTACACACCATGTGTGCACACAGTTGTGCACAGGTATGTGTGATCACCGCACCACAGACCCAGCACAGAGCTGAGGCAGGGCAGCCTCTCCCTGGCATGGCTACATCAACAGCAGAACACGGGACACGTGCTACAAAGCTTACGCGAGACACCGAGACACGCACAGGTGCACCTCAGTATTCCACGCTTCTAAGTGGACATCAGGACACACACATAGAACATCAGAGGTCAGCCAGAAACTGACCCAGAGCACACATCCTGTTAGATCTACAAGCTGCTCATATCTGTTTAAATGAATACTCAAACCAAGAGTGCTTCTCTTTCAAAATATGGGTAAATGCAACAGCCAAAGACAGTGTGTGAACACTGGGGTCCCTCACTGAGGGGCAGAATCCTGGGTGTGCTTACCATTGACCCACTAGACACCTGGCCTCACAGTGCTGCCTAGGACTGGGTTAGAGATAGGGGCAGAGGGACAGAGGGAAAGTCCCTGCCACCCGGCCCATGTCAGGCCCTGTCCTGGGGCCAGACTCCGACTCAGGTGCCATTTGGCTTAGTTGGCTCAGGTGCCAGCATGCAGCCAGACCCGGAGGCCCAGGCCCCAGGGTGGCTGGGTACCGTGCTGTAACTCTGGACATCTCCATGCAGTCACAGTCACCTGCCATGACTGGGTAGAGGCTGCCACGGTCGCTCAGGCACAAACCCCCAGGGAACAGGCCAGCTGCACCCAGTGGCTCCTCTACTCACTTGTGATACCAGTTGACTTTCATCTCCTCCATGAAGTACTTCATGAAACACTGGAGCCGGATCCCCTCTGGGGTGCAGAGGATCTTCAGGGGAGAGGCAGAGAGGCCTGCGGACGAAGAGCAGCAGCTCAGAGAAACAGAGTGGGCATACCTGGGTGGGCACATCCACAGGCACCTGTGTGCCCAGACAGCGTGGGTAGACTCACGGGCACCCAGGTACGACTCGTGTGCACTAGGGTCTGACCGCCGCGCCTGTCCCTGACTCAGGTGGCCACATTTATTGGTGATGCAAGCACTTGCTGACCCACCGTGACTTGAAAAGCCCTCTGCTGACTACTAAGAGACGTTTTAAAAACAACCAACCTCTGTCGCTTAACAGCTTGGCTTAAGGCAAAGAGACAAAGTCGTGCAAATGACAGCGTAGCATCACAAATTCCAGTTGATGAACTTCAATCTCAGAGTTGTAGGGATCAGGGCAGGGGGGCTGCAGTTGGCAGTGATCCAGAGAGGTCAGGAAAGGCTGGGTTGGGGCAGGGGCTCTGGGACAGGGACAGGAAATGGGGAGAGGGCGGGGTGGAAGGAGCCACAGGCCGTGGGGGAGCTAGGAAAGGTGACCTAGACAATTCCTGTAGGCTCAGCTGCTCTGGCCTGGGGCTTCGCACGCCTGCAGTCACCAGAGACCAAGGAACACAACAGGATCACAACCGTGGGTGCGGAAGTAAGGCGAGGAGGCATCTGCCGCTTCCTCAAACAGACGAGCAATGAAAATCTACATTAGGAAACTTAAAAATACAGTGTTTTCCATTGTAAATGTATTCCTGGGAACTCACTCAAAGGAAACATTCCTAAGTATTGGGAAAAGCTTTTCCTCAACCAAAGATGTACCTTATACAGTTATTTATGATGAAAACTTGTCAACGCCCGTGGAAGAATTTAAATCATGGTGCTGTGATTCCATGAAATATATGCAATTTTTAGAAATCATGGGTATAAAACCCATGTGAAACAAAGAAACATATTATAAAATACGTGAGGGAGTAAAACAAGAAACAAACTGTACGTAGGACCCCAACTGTGTAAGGAGTAGACACCGACATAAAAATACACGACTACGCCCTCGTTCCTGGGCTCCAGGCGGACCGCCGTACCCAGTGACGTGGGTCCCAAGCCCGGCCTCTCCCGCCCTAGGGGCCGGGTTGACACAGAGCTGGAGCAAGCTGGACCCCTTCTGTGAGCCCTGTCTCCACGGAGCCACCACCCACACACGGCCCTGCAGCGCTGCGTGACAGGCAGTGCACGGCCAGCCACTCCCTCCAGAGTACAGCACAGCCGCTCTTCCGGGGCTCCGTTTGCCTCCCCTGCCTGCCTGCCGGCACCCCCGTGAAGCCATGTTGAGCACCCTGACACCAGCCAGGAGTAAAACTGACTTAAAGAAAGTCTTTGCATTTGACCAAGCAAAAGCAGGAAGGGACTGTCACCAGATAAGCCACAGGAGACACAGGGGCGGGCGTGTCCGCATCTGGCGGGGTCCTGACCGCTGGAGGTTGGGCACCCCCAGTTCACCCTGACCCCCTAGCTCTTACGTCTCAGTTACTTCATAAGAGAATATGCATGAGGCATTGCTAGACAGCCGCAGGAATAAAGTGCATAATTGTTCCCACAAAGCGCGACACAAATACAAGCTATTATTGCCAAACTAATCTCTCCACTCTCAGCTTCCCAGGAAGGCCGAACAGAGAGACAGAATGTATCCACAAAGCTAAAAATGGTTTGATGTGTGCGACACAAAGCCGGAGTTTCAAAAACTCACTTTTGCTATTTAACAGTTGGAATAAAGGTGCTGCTAAAGATTTTGGTTAAACCAGATTAACCAAGCACAAATCAGAGACCATGACCAGTGGAGGAGTTAGGATCAGATCCACATAGACCCCGGCCAGAGCTCAGAGTCCCACGGGCCTCCTGGGAGCCACGGGTGGCATCCTGCCCTCCATCCAGGGTGGGCACCATCACACACTGTGCCCTGTCAGGATCTTCCAGAGAGTAACGGGTCCCACCCCGGCAGCAGAGGTCAGCGCCCAAATGACCCGGAAGCGGGGGGCGCGCACTTACCGCAGACTCGACTCATCGCCAGGATCATGTCCTCGTACACTGGAAGGAGAAGGGAAATGTGCCTTAGGGAGCTTAACTGTGCCCGAGAGCAGCGTTCTCCATTTGATTAAATCCACACAGGGAATCGTGACACCCATTTAAAAAGTGAGATGCTGACACAGCCACATCACACATGAAAGGCTGTGTGTGCAGCAAACGCTTCTCGCCTACTCACTCTTTCAACATGGGGCAAGAACATTTGCCAACATAACCCAACCCTACCGAGTGGTATGGTCAAGTGGCGTCACCAGCGTCTCCCTCCTGCTACCCCACTAGGGTGCAGTAAAGCCTGGCTGCTCACCGGGGGCTGAAACGACGTTTCACCCGAGCCCAGAGCAACAAACACCACGCACTTTTCTACAGCACGGGAGCAGCTCTGAGTGCAGCCGGGCGGGGATGGGCGCACCCCAGGGACACTGCTCATCGAGGTGCAGAGAGGGCGAGCAGGCTCAGCTGTACCTTTGCCGGCTAACTCCAGGATAGATACGTCCTGACCTCTGTCATCTTTCAAGGTCGCCTTGTATTCGCCATGGTCCTTCTTGGATAACTACAAAGAAGCACATCCCACGATAATGTGAAGTCAATACTGCGCCACAAACGGTAGCAAGCACCAATAGCACATTTTCCTTGCAAACCAAGGGAATTCAGGATGCAGGCTGGAAGACAATGCAGAATTTATGAATGATTCCACCTGCTCTTTGCTGGGCTTGGCACACGGTACCTTTGGTATGAGCAGCTCACAGATGCCCTTTTCCAGGTCGGGCGGCGTCTCTGTCTCGTACAGAACGTCGTCCTTGAGCCATTTGAAAACCGTTTCTTTCTTGGTGTTTGCAACCTGCAGCACAGAAGTCCTAAATGTAGTACATGAAGCACTTGGCTCATAAAGAACAGGCTTTCAGGGTGTAGATCACAGCCCCCAAACTGAAAAAGTGATCAATTCTTATTCCAGACAGTCTCAGACAGAGGCTCATGGGAAAGCTGTCACTTCTAATAATAGCAAATACATTCTTAGATTACAACTTCTAAAATGATGGAGCTCCTAGGACTGTGCCCAGTGGACAACGAATCTCACCATCCCGGTCCGTGAACTTAGATGGCGTAAAGGTCTCCGGGCTCATGTGAAATGCCAGCAAGAGGACGAGCTGCGAGCAATGTGCTTTTTGTCTGTAAATAGCTCAGCCTATTCTGAGAGGTCGGTGAGACTGACCCAGGGCTGCTCCTTGGCAGCCGGGTGTCTCGGGCCGCCACACACGTGAGGGGAAAGACACCAAGGGCCCTTCACCTTCCCTGCCACCCCTCACACCCCACTCTCAGGCAGGGCTTGACCCCAGCGCAGGGCTCCACGCCGCAGGGCCGCTGGCTCGGGTGCTGACATGTGTGCCAGAAGGAGGAGAAGGCGGCCCAGGGCTGTGTGCTGCGCAGTCCCATTGGACCCCCAGCCGGACAGTCCTGCCTTCCCATCCAGAGTGAGGTCAGGGACAGAGACTGCAAGGGTCGGACAGTCAGATCGGCTCCGGAGCATGGCAGCTGTGTGGCGTAGCACCACCATCTCTGCCGAGGGCAGTGGTGGGAACTGTGCCACGGAAGTGCGATCCCTGGATCCCGGCTAAGCACAGATTCTGCCCATCTCCCCACATCCGCCCCTGAGTCTGGGCACCTGCGTGGTGGCACAGAGAGGTCGCCCTGGCCTAGGGTCTGAGGACCAGCAGAAGCCCCGCGACGCTGGCCTGGGAGTGGGACCTCCCTCCGTCGTCGGCGCTCACACATGCGGGGCGGGCTGCCGGGCCCGGGGTCACTTCCTCTGTGCCAGCGAGGCCTCATCTTCTGCACGCCCACATCCAGCGCCAACCCACGCGACCCCTCACCACTGCTTCGGTCAGCACGGCTCGCTGCACCCGCGTCCTCTCAGACCCTGCAGCGCCGGCGCCGTGTGACACACAGGCCTTCCCAGACCCTTCGCTCTGCTCTCCGGCAAACCCTCGGTGGGTTATGAGTGCTCTGGGCCGGGCTTTTACTCCGACACAACCCCTTGGCCTCTTCCCTAATCCTTCACTTCTACCATTCTTTAAATGCAGGCATCTAAAGCACACACAGCCACCTGGAAGACAGCCGGGCGCGTCAGACGCCTTGTGGCACAGGCGGTGCCCCCACAGGTCACGGCCAGCGCCCTGCAGTCACCCACGCATCCCGGAGAGATGCTCGCATCAGGCAGACTTCCTGGTCTTTATGACTGAGGTTCTCTGAATCCTTTCTTTTCTAACAAACGGTTTTCTGTAAAGTTATGGTCTGCACTCGAGCACCTCATCCCCCCGTTACTGTCACACGGACGTGTTTTAAGACGCCCATCCACTTAGAGCCACTAGGAGATAACGCACATAGCGAGATGGTCTATAGGACCGCAGGGCGGTCAGCAACACAAGGCTGTCGATGAAACGCAAACCGCTGCAATCTCAGGTGATGTTCACTGCGCTTCAGCAAAGGTCTGTGTTCAAAGCTTTATAAATCTCACCAGCCAGGCACGTAAGGGATTTTAAATGCAGAGACAGAGTCATGCACCCCTGAGACGCCCTCAGCACCCCCACGGAGAGCTGCGTGCAGCCAGGCACTGCTGGAGCGGCGAGGAAGCAGAACTCGGGTGTGGCCTCCACCTCAGCCACGTGTGTTCCCGCGTGTCCTGGGCCACGGCAAAAGAGGCGAGCGGTGTGATAGAGAGGTCCGCGTGCGGGCTCTGTGCAGCTGCTGGCTGGCAGGCTGATCTCTGCACGCTCACGTCCAGCCCCTGGAAGTCTGTGCTTGTCCTTGAACCGCAGCCGCCTGAGAAGGCTGCTGCTTCCAGCACCAACACGCTCGGGAAGCAGCCCTTGCGTCCCAGGGCTTCTCCTTTTAAACATCTGGCAGGATGCATGTTTGGTGAGCAAGTAAGCGTAAGTTTGTGAGTGAAATTCTTCTCTAAATGTCTCTGCCTCTGAGCCCTCCTGTTAAACACATCCACTCATGAATCTCACCACCATAAACAACCCTAAGCATCTGCCCAATAAGTGTGTGCACGTGTGGAATACCAAAGCTGTAGAGCTCGTTTTCACTACAGACGTATAAACAAGAAACCATGACTTAATTACCAACACTACCAACGGGCAGCAAATAGCGAGGGTAGTTCCTTCCCATGGGTTTGGGGAGCCCCTGCCCTCCCTGGGCATATCCAGCACTGCCCAGCTGCCCCCCACTTCGAAGTCCCTCTCTGAGCCCCACACCACCAGCTCTCCCTCTGGCCTGGTCCCTCCCTTTCCGCCAGCCTCGCACTTGTTCGCTGGGTAAAACACACCCCAGGCTTACCCTTTGGACCATGTTTTATCGCCCACCTCCGTCATTCTTCCACCCCAGGTCCAGTGCACCCGGGTGACCCTGCCCATTTGCTTTCCTCTCATCCCCCTAGACCGTGAGTAGTTGTAGGATAAAAATGGCACATTCTTGATCTTTTGTCCCTGCATCCTTATTAAAGTTGGTGACAGTCGTACAGCAGGTGCTCAATACATTAAATGGTGTTTAAAATTCAACTTAGCCATAATCAAAGCCTATTTTATTACTGAATTATCAGAACAGAATCTGAAAAGCACCTTGGTCCTACCACACACCTCCTGTCTCCTGATACAGTCACAGGAGCAGCATGACAGGCAGATGTTCGCCACCACGCTGGCTCACAGTCACCTGCCAGGGTTTAAGCTAGCATCCTTCTCAGCACACACTGAGTCTCCTCTTGCAGGTCCCCTGCTGTGGCCTTCTCATGATGAGACAGGCACAAACGTCTCAGAGCTGAGAGCGCCCCTGGATCCAAAAGCTGCTCTGCCCACCATGCCCAGGCCAAGCCCACACATGTCGCTCCCGTGGCGGAATCTGACCAGGCTGCTCCCTGACTGGGCCCCTCATCAGGACAAGAACAGGGTCTGTGTTCTCCTCACCTTACACACCAGGCGGACTTCACACTCTTCTGTGACATCCCAGTGCAGATACTCGGCAAAATGAGGGCCTATGGGGGAAAGGGGAAGTTTTTCAAAGGAGCAGAAGTCACATGAATAAATAAGCATCCATGATACAGACATTGCCTGGGCTCACACAGGTAAATGTGTGCTAAGACATTTACATGTATGTACAAGCATGCAGTTTGGGCTGCAGAAAAGAGCTGTGCAGCTGTGGAGCCCAAGAGCTTGTGTGGCCCTGGGTCACAGTGTGTCAGCACCAGCGCCCACGGGAACCTGCTTCTCCTGGTGGCAACATCAGCCCCACCCACCCTCCTTGCTGGAGTAGAGGATCTCCTGTTCCTTAGAAAGGGGAGCATTGAAACTGCTGTGTTTTCTTTCTCAGTCATACGTCCAAATGGACATTCAGTAGCATAGTATATAAAACCTTTAAAGTAAGAAAATCAGTAGAGCGGGGGTGTTGGCACAGGCTTGCATTCCCACCACTCTGGTAGGTGAGGCGAGAAGCGCTCAATTTCAAGGGCAGCCTGAAAAAATTCAGTGACTTAGCAAGACTTTGTCTCAAAATTAAAAATTTTAAAAAGAATTGGAGAACTAGCTCAGTGGAAAGGCTCAGTGGAAAGGCCCCAGAGAGAGAGAGAGAGAAAGAGAGATATTAATCAAAAGGAGATGAAGAAAAGGCTGCTTGACCTAGGGATTTTCTGAAGGCCTATTTTATCTGTATATCATTTGGAATTCAGATAGATTTGTGCATATTTTTAAATCTCAAAGAATTTGTATTTAAAATAAATGTAGAAGTGATATATTGATAATGACATTATCCTATTCAACACACAAAATACAATGTGGATGTAGGATGTAGGTACTGATGTCTTTTATATAAATGCATTCTCCAAAGTGGGCTCAGATGGTGCCCAGAATCCAAATGGTGCCTATTCTGAGCCCTCTGCTCTTGGAGAGGCAAGACCAGAGCAAGACATCTGGGTACCAGGAAGGGCAGTTACAGCAGCCATCTGACTGGTACCGCCAGCATCGGGATATACGGCTGGTTAATGAGGTGGGTGCAGACCAGGAAAGCTGTAAACACATCCCTTACCCTACAGGGAGTTACAACTGTGCTGAGCAAAGGTACACCTAGAAGAGAGGGGAAAGCCACCTTCCACAGGGCATAAAGAGACCCGTCAGCCAGCAGGTCGGCACAGACCCTGGCTGGCTTGGCCATTTCCTGGACAAGGGCAAAGCAGGAAATACAAACATTAAACAGTGGGTAGGGACTACCTAAACTATAAGTAAGAAATATATGAACAAAATACACTTAAAGGGCAAAGGACAGAGAAGTGTTCAAAGTTCCACAGCTAGATCACTTTGCATGGCCTCGGACATGTAGCGTCTGCGTTGGACAAATACCCAAACACAAGGCTGTGTTTCATGCTCATGTGGGGCAGCAGGCCGACTGCCTACCTTGCTTCCTGAGATACTCTTTCCTTTGAAACTCAGCCTCTTCCAGGACAGTCTTGAAAGCTAAATTCAATATGCAAGAGAGGGAGATGTGAAATGCACTTGCGTCTCTCCACTCAAAGGAATTTTCTTGGAATTATCTTTTGTGGACACATGAAAATGTTTAGCAGAGCATACCGTCTCCAATGAGAACCAGAGAAGACTGGTTTTTGGCTTTTCCATCCTGAATCTGCACCGTGTAGGTTCCTTCATTTTCGATGGTAAATCTATCCATGACCATCTCAATGAGGCCTGTGGACTTGTCACACTTAATTCTGTGTATCTGGAAGAAGGAAGATGGAGGATTGCACAGGGGCCTTCCTTGAGCTTTCTCTCTCCACACTGAACGGCTGCATCAGCTATGACAGCTGGAGGAATCCCAACCCAGAGAAACACAAAATAAAACTCCACCAGATAAAGCTCTGAGTGAACCAGGAGCCAGTTCCTTCCCAAGCCAAAGCCCAGGCTCCAAGTGGTACCACCAACCACCACGGGCACCTTCCCACAAGAAACTCTGTTCATTACCCAAGAGTGAGCACCAAACCTGAAATAACCTGAGAGAGAAAACAAGCTGGCAAGCTGTGATGAAAGCCTGCACACAGAGCCAAAGTGACGTGATACTCATGACAATGTCGTCCCCAACCCCCAGGACTCCCAGCCACACCTCAGGCCCATAGCCTCAGTGGGGTGTAGCTGCCTCAGTACAGGAGAAACAGCTGCTCCCTGAGGCAGGGTTATGACTCCCAGCACCATACAGTGACAGACCAGGGGACGTCAAGCACAGGGCCTGTGCTGCCCTGCACAAGTCAGAAGAAAGCAGGACACTTTAAGCCTGTACCACTCCCACCCGCACCTGTCTCCTGACCACAGCCCCAACCACCTTTCCCACTCTGCTCTCCCGCCTTTCCCCGAACATTCCACCCCCCTCCAGGAGCCTTCATCAACACCCTGGAAGTCGGATGACATTGCGGGGGAGCAGCCCCATCTCCCACACAGGAGCACCCTACCCAACCAGCCCCCAGAGTCTGTCTATCCTGCCAGCCTCTGGCAACCCAGGAGAGGTAGGATGGTGGAGGACTCACCTGCAGCTTCACACAGTGCCAAGCACAGCCCCTGGCCAGCAGTAAGCAGTGAATAAATGTAGCATCACTGAGGAGCAAGGCAACCTGGAGCATCAGCTCCTCTGCCATGGCGGCGTTGCCCAGGCTGTGGCCACTGGACCTGGAGTGGCACTGCACACACTTGGTCTAGGGACCTGCCTATTCCTCCTGTCTGCTCTTCCCACGTTCCTTCCAGGGGAGGATTCTGCTCTGGCCTCGCTCTGACCCACACATCAAGAAGCAGCCCCAGCTCCTGGCTGGACACAGAGAATGCCAAGGCAAGCTGGGCATGATCTCTGTCCTCAGGGATGTGACAGAATGGGTTCACACCGGTGCCAAGTCACCCCCGCAGCAGGAGAAGAACTAACTGCTCGGGAACCAGCACGGGTGAAGGCGGCAGGGCTGGGGGAGAGGCCAGGCCTGGGAAGCCACGCTTTTCAGACCAACGGCCAGCTGCAGGATCCTCCCACACTCCATGGCCTTTGTTATGCCCATCCTCCAGCACCCACATGGCCCGCCCACCGCCACTGAGCATGTCCCAGAACACGGCCCCACCTGAGCAGCTCCAGAAGTGGCCGCCTTCAGTACCTGGGCGCCGTGACTCCCCTTTCCCCCCATGCTGCTGCCTCGCGGCCAGCGATGGACAGACAGACAATGGAAGGCCCTCGGCTCCCCTGGACACTGTCATCTCACACTCAGACCGTGCACCAACCTTCTAAAGTCCCCTGTGCATTGCTAACGAAAGGTGTGAACTAGTCCAGCCACGTTCCACAAGGCAGTCAGGCAGCAGTGCCGTCCACTTATAAAGCGAGCCTCCGCTGCAGCAGGAAATGGTAGTCCCAGATACGCTGGAAGGAAGGAAGCACCCTACAAGCCACCTCCTCTTGGGGCAAGGTCCTGTTCACAGACGCTGTCTCCAGTGGCCTGGATCCAAGTCTCTCCCTCGAACAGTCCGTGAAGTCTACTTTTAAGCCAACTTTTTCATGTCTCTAAATCCTAAAATGTGTCACCTCTCTCATGGTACAGACAACTAGAAAATCATTTGGTCACTGTCCATACAAGGTTTCTGTCTGACAGATGGCACCTGACCCATCAGGCTTTGTGCAGTCCGAGGGTAAGGCTGCAGATGGGAAGACAGTCGCCACCCCTTCTTGCAATGGACATTTGTACAGTACTCGAGGAAGGAGCCCCCCGGGGCTGGGCGGCTGGCTGAGTGTCCGGGACACCACACTTGGGCAGAAGTGGGATTGGAGAAAACCCAGCCACACTCCTAACAACACAGTCCCCAACAATTTATCCTTTATCTGGGTCCCCTGTGGTGCTACAGTGAGATGAGAGGAAGTTTATCTAAACATAATCAATGCCTTTTCCAATAGTTGACAGCCAGAAAGGAAGAGTTGTAACAACTGTGAGATTCAGCCCATAGAATTAAAAGTAGAACAAGCAATCACGCTTCTATTGTAGCTTAAGATGCATTTTCGACAGTTCCAGGGCTGTTCTGTCTGGACCCCATATCCACCTCACCAAGGGAGCAGCCTGAAGGGTCCAGGACATGTGGGGTTATTTTCCACCTGGTGTCTCCCACAGGAAACTGTCGGGGCTGGGACACAGGATGGCATTCCTCACCATAGAGCAAAGACCATCATCCTCCAAAACCTTTATGAAGAATAAATACACTGACGCATCAAGGATATGCTCTATGGAACCTGAGCCTTTTCATAAAATCAAGCTCCAAGTCTCTGAAATACAGTTTGTTAATTTTTTAATTCCAAGAAGTTTATATTTCACAGGCTGCCCACATCTTCTCTACCACAAAGCAAACCTCTAAATGTCACAAGAAGCCACTGATTTCATTCATCTGGGTCAAACTTCTGCACCTCAAACTCTGCATCTCAAAAAGGGATGGGGAGAAACCCAGAATGCTGACTTTATGCAGCAGACCTCTGCCCACCAAGCTGGGTCGGCCAACTCACCTCGCTGTCAGAGACCTCTCTGTCATTAATGACAAACCGGAAGGTGGCGTCGGGTGACAAGTGTTCGGCCTGGAGCCAGAAGCGGACCTGGCCCTTATCGAAAATCTCATAAGCTAATTCTGACTTCAGAGGAATTGCTGTGGGAAAAGCAGATGTCACAGGCTCGTCATGCACATACCCTATAGGAGGGAGAGCTGCGTATCTGGGGAAAATATGGGTCATAATTATTAAACTCCCTGACAGTGGAGCTCTGGAGTCTTGCACTGGATTGTGGAGGCCAAAAATGAAAAATAGAGCTCTAATTAGCCTGTTGCAGTGTTTAAAGCCTCACCCCAGGTTCTGGGTCCAGACAGGATCCATGGCTACAGATACAGGTCTGCCTTCCCTACCCGGTGTGACTCAGTAACTGAGGTCAGGTTGATGGAGCAGGGACACAAGTCCCTACAAGCTGCTCACAAACTAGCATTCATTTTCAACCCTCATTACATGGCTGCAAGCTGGAGTCCAAAAGGCGCCGCCTTCCCAGACGGCCCTGGGAGAGCTCCCTGTGCCCCAGCTGCCTCTGGTTTACACCTGCGCTCCAGGCGCGTGGTCCACTTACTGGGGTTCTTGATCTCGTTGCTCAGTGCCATCAAACGCTCAAGCTCTGAAATCAAGAAAAGACGTTATCATTGGCATTGACCTGGGCATTCAGGAGCCCATGGGCAGCAGCAAGGCCAGACTCGAGCAGGGACCTCACAGCACAGAGAGCCAATCATCTCCAAGACTTCCCTGAGGACGTGAAAGAAATCTGAGGTAAGAGTGAGAGGGCGGTGCCGGGGCCTTAACGGTCAGGCCTGGGCCGCTGGCTGTGCCTGAATCCTCGCTGGTGAAGGACTTGCCCAAGGCCAGCAGAGGCCAGGGCCGAGTCCCACAGAGCATGGTGTGGAGGGCAGGCGTGCCCCAAAGTCCAGAACGTCAGAGCAGGGAGGACACAGCCAGCACGGGCTCCAAGCCCCACAGCACGGTCTCCATGCTGACCTGCTGGCTGGGGCGGGAATGCCAACAGGCGTCCCCTCCCCTTGGAAATCCCCTCCTTTGATTTATGAAAGAAGAAAAGGCATCTTTTCTCCCAGCCTGGACCTCACTATGGCATGTCACTATGACTGAAGGGAAAAGCACCCACGTCACTCCTGAGAAATCTCCACGTCTTCCCTTCCTCCTCCCTTTCCTCCTTTCCCTCCTGCCCTCCTTCCTTCCTCCACGCTTCCTCCTTCCTTTCTTCCTTCCTTCCTTCCTTCCTAAAGCAGAATTCAGAAATGAGGACATCAGGGTACATATGGGCACGATCCTCTGACCCAGATGGGGTCAGACTTTCCATGCTGAGAGCAGACACAGTCTGGCTGTGGGTCTGACCCTGAAGTCCACTCTCCTGGGCAGGACCTCGGGTGGGATCGTGAATCCGAGGAGCTAAGCTTACAGCTGCAAGGTTCTGCCTCAAATACATTAAACTATGCATGGTGTAAAACATGGGAAAAATCATATCCTGTGTGCTACAGTTCAGGTCTAAAATGTCCCGCAAAGGACATATGTTCAGAGCTGGGGCTTGAAGGTGACTGGCTCGTGAGTGATCAGCTTCATAGTGGATTAATCTACTCAGGAGATCAGGGTCTGACAGCCTTATGGGAGGTGGTGGGCACATGGGAGCGGGGCCTAGTTTCAGGGAGTGGATCTCGGGGTGCGATAACGGGACCAGCTCCGGCCCTCACCCCTCCTCTCTGGCTCTCTCACTCCCTCTGCTCCTGGCTGCATGAAGCAAGTGGCCTCCTCCGCCCGGCCCTTCCGCCTCACTGCTCTGCCTCACTTCAGGCTTCGAGGAGTGGGGCCAACGGGCCATGAAACCACTACCCCACGAGCCAAGACCAACTTCCCTGCTTCAAGCTGGTATTTCAGGTATTCTGCCACAGCAATGAAAAGCTGGTTTATACACTTTGCAGCTATTTAAAGTTAAAGTGAAAAATACCCTATGTGAACCTACAAACGCAAAAAGATGCACGGCTTTCAGGATTCTTTAAGGGTGCACTTTGTGCACCACGCATTGTGAAGTCCCCTGCACCAAGGCCAGCAAGGGCCTGTTGGGAAGCCCCTGTTCCCACATGGAAGCCACACACCACGGCCCTGGCAGGGAGGGCGATCCCAGCCCCTGTGTGTTGGCTGCACCATGTGTGGTCTGCTGAGCTTGCTGGGTTTCACCAACACAGAGCAGACCCGAGCCCGGGGCAGCCGTCAGCATCCCTGCTGCCCCCCCTTCGGTGCCCAGGGGTCCTTGTAGGCCCACGGCTGCGAGCTAAACATGCCCCCAAGTTTCTGTGTGGAGGGGTGGGTCTGGCTTGGTGCTGCGTTCACAGGAGGAGCCAGGGTGGGAGCCCTCACCAGACAGAGCCCCTGCACGTGGACTCCCGGCCCCCAGTAACCTCTGTCATTCTGAGGGCCCGTCTGCCTTCTGTCATCAGCACAAATGGCCCAGGTGCCCTCACTCAGCACTGCCCTGGGCCGGTCTCCTCGGCCACCACCCCGAGTAGGTCAGCCGGCACCCACCAGTAATCCAAGGGCTTGCTGATGCCCTTGGGGCCCCAGGGACTCGGGGTTCAGAGTCCAGAGAGGCGATCTGAGGGTCGCTGGTGCTGTGCTGCAGGACAGAGGGTGACGCTGAGCTGTGAGGAGCAGGGCTCCACAGAGGAGAGCGGGGGTGCTGGCGAGTTCTGGCGGGCACAGCCACAGCCTCGGCCGCATGCCTCTCACCCACGCGCCTGTGGACCCAGCTCTGCAGAGCAGCCCAAGAGGAGCACCACCCTCCTCCCAAACAGATGCCCTCACCGTCACGGTCCTGGGGAGCAGGGACTGGGCCACGGCCCTTGAAAGTTACTTCACACGCAGTGGGAAAAGCCGTCTGATCACCCAGCTTCTCCTTGGGAGCAGCCTCCCACCATGGGTCCTCCCTGCGCTCTGAGGAAGCGTGCGCAATGACATTGCTTCCCAAGTGCCATCATCGAGCAGTTCATTGGGAATTATCTGAAACCTGGGTGCAGCGGTGAGCTGGGTCTGCACCCCAGGGCCTGGCCAGTGGGGTGTGCGTCACAGAGCACTTAGTCTGGACTTGCTTAATGTGTGAAGGCATCCAGGCTCCCAAGAACAAGCCCTGTCCCCAGGCCCCCACGAACGCACACCCTTGCTGTAATCAAATATGTCTTTGCTGTGGACTCGGTCTTTGGACATGTGATCAACACACAGAGCAAGCCAGTGCCATGGAGACATTACCTTCTTCATCCAAAACAAAGCTGGAGGACACGCCATCCGTGTCGCTTACAGACACAGAGTAAGTCCCCACATCCACTTTATCCGGGTTCTTAAAATACAGCCGTGAGCTGGAAAGGAAGAGGAAGGGCACGTGAGTCATCTCCCCCAAGGGGCTGCCGCAGCCCCAGCGCCTCGCTGCTTACCGATCACCCTCCGTGTGCACTCGGAACTTGTCCTCATCCGCAATCTCCTCGTAGGATTTGCACCACGTGAACTCGGAGGCGTCCGTCATCTCCTGGCAGTCGAAGTCCAGGTAGATGTTGCCCTCCTCGTCCACACCTGCGCTGATTTCCTTTGTGCCTGCGGAGCAAGAAGGCAAGGGAGCCTCAGGGACACTGTGTTCTTTGGATCCTTTCCTTGGACAGGAGGTGGCACAGGTGGAGGGCTCACTTTACACCAAATCATCAGTTCCACTGAGTGTCCTCCCACGACACTGGGCGCCATGGAGGAGAAGGACACCAGGGAGCCCAGGGACGCGCAGGGGCAGGCTGGGTGCCTTGCTGCTGCTGCCGCCCCGCCTGACTGCCCATCTCCATGCCGCCTCCCCTGCATCCCAGAGCCCCAGGAACCCCAGCTCCCCCGCAGGCCCAGCCCCCTGCCTCGTGCACAGCACCGGGCCTCACCCACAGCCTCCCCTCCCCCACAGGGCACAGCGTTGGCTGTTCCTTTGCTGTGATCAGGCAAAGGGGACCCCGGGCCCAGCTGTGCCAGTCAGAAGTCACCTCTCAAAATCAGGGGCCAGTGGGGACGAGCCCAGCCTTCGCGGAAAGTGGAACTGAGAGCACATAATAGAAATGCTTTCAAGTTACCAGGAAGAGGGGGACAGGAGAGAGCAACCTGTGGGTCAGAAGCAAGCAAATGTTCACGGGGGAGGGCGGAAGTCCTGAGAGGCGGAGGCAGAGCGCACGTGAGTCACGGGCTCTGCGCCTGGGGCACCTGCCCCGCAGTCCTGTGAGCCCACCTCGCCCTAGGGAGCTTCCCTTCTCAATGTCACCCCGTTGGGATTTTGAATTCACTGTAATCAAGAAAAGTCACCCTTGGCCTTATAATTTCCTGATCCAAAATCAGCAGAAATGCAAGAAACCACCCTCCTTCCTGAAGAGTTTGTGTCCACCTGAGGACCACCCACCCACTGCTCAGAGGACCAGATGAGTGCTTCTCCTGCCCCCAGGACTTGGAACCTCACAGGGCTGGAGCAAAACTGTAGGTCAGGCTCCAAATCTTCACAGACACAAGCAGACGCACATTCACCCCTCCAACAGCACCCAAACACACACATCACACAGCATCACACATACACACATCATGCACGTGTCACCCCGCACACCTCCATCATGCACACCCGAATCCCAGCTTCTCCATGCTCTTTGCCACCCTGAAGGCGGCGGCGGCGGGCACGGCTCACCTGGCCTGGCCTCCACGAGCACCGGCTCCGAGACATCCGACGGCTTCCCCGGCCCACTGGCGTTCACTGCCCGCACCCTGAACACATAAGTCTGACCTTGCTGCAGATCACAGACCTGAACGACAGGACACGTGGGTGTGGGCATCCCATAGGGACAGTGTTCTGCAGCCGGTGCTGCCCACCCAGGCCCACCCACCAGTCAGAGCCTGGCAGTGTGCCAGGATGCGGGCATCTCAGTCCAACTGCACCCCAGGTCCATGGCCACAGGGCAAGGCCTCTGCATCAGGGCATATTCATCAGGGAGCCTGTGCCCACAGGGCCTACAGGGCCCAGGACCCTCATCACAGCTGACGGACGGTGGCTGGACCTTGCATGGTAAAGTAGAAATATTTGGAGGAAGGATAGAGCGATTCATACAGTGTGTGTGTGTGTGTGTGTGTGTGTGTGTGTGTGTGTACATATGCACGTGTACAGGTGTGTGTACACGCAGGCTCTCAACCCACAGGCATGAGCAGCACTGGAAGGACAGGCACGTGGGCCAGGTTCTCCTGCCTCTCCAGGGTGATCTTCCCCCTGTGCTGGGTCCCCGAGGTGCTCCGTGACACTGGGACAGCGCCCCTGGGGGGTTTGATGAGGCGTGGGTCACAAACACTTTCTCATGAAAGGGCAAAGAATAAATAATGACTCACCTTCAAGTAACGGTTTGGAGTTGTCTCCTGATTCACATTCTTCCATTCCCCAGAATCCACCTCCTTAAAATCCACGAAATAGCCAGACACAGGGCTGCTGCCAGAGTACACAGGCGCCTTCCACAGCATCACCAGCGACGTGTCCCGCACCTCGCAGAACGTCAGGTCGTAGGCAGGCCCTGCAGGGGCACCGAGAGCCCAGCGCCTGGGTAGGCAGCCTGGACCCCAGCCCAGGCCCCGCACTCTCCTCACACCACACGGCCCCAGCTGGAGAGTCATGTGAGTGGGTCCAGCCCGGTGCAGGGGACAGCCCGGCTGACATGCACACAGCCCCTCCTCGGCACACAGTCAACCTTGGGTGCCCTGCTGGCCAGCGGGTGGACACCAGGAAGAGCAGCATGCTGCACCCTGGGCTGGAACACGCTCTCTGGGACATCTGCGAGTCTGATGGTGTCTGCTGATGAGCCAGGTCCCCAAGAGCTACTGATGGCAGGGGAGAAGCGGGACCCCTGCACCTCCCTTAGGTCGCACCTCATCCCCTGCAGCTCCGCCTCCCTGTCCTGCACGCTAACAGGTTCTGCCCAGGGCTGTGCCAGGGCTAAAGCGACTGCATCAGAACTGGACGAAAAGGAAGAGGGCCGGAAGGAGGGAAGAAAGAGAAAAGAAGACAGGAGAGGGAAGGAGAAGGAGGGGGAGGGGAGGGGAGGG